ATTGTTCTGGTGATGATAGAATTCTTGAACTGTTTTTTACAGCACTAATTTTGCAAAGTATATTTACATAACTGGTGAAATTTTTGAGAAGTTTGATTCAAAACAATCCTTCCTGCGAATCATTTTTTGTTATTTTTTTGTTGTTAGAATTGTGTGACCTCAGTTATGTGACACCTTCAGCTTCGTGGAATGTGATGAATTAACTATGTAATGACCCAGTCCTCTTCTTTCTTTGCAAGTTTGGGCAGAGCGCATAAGCAGGCTCTTCTGAGACTCTTCAACTGTGTCCTGAAAATCTGATCTTAGAAAAGTAATTGTCAGGGACATGCTGCTGCCTGAAAACTCTTTCACTTGAACAATTTTTAAATTAAGCAAGGAAAGAAATCGAAAAATGTAATCAGAAAGTCATTTTCAGCTAACTGGCAGTTTTGAAGCAGTGACAATTATGGTACAAAATGGAACATAAAATGTGTAGCGAAACCACCATCACTTAAACTTGACAAAACGGCCATTAGTTTAAAATGCTCAAGGCACAAAATTATTTCAGCATGCCCAATTCAAACTTTTCTCTCTTTCAGTAATGGGCCTTTTGAGTAATAGGGCATATCTTATTAGACTGAGTAACGTGCTTGCAGAGGGTAAGATAGGCCACAGAAGGTATCCGGGAATTCAGAAGAAACATCATTGGGTCAGAAGCCAATACTACCGGTCTCCAGTGTTAGAACTTGGGAATGAACTTAACTCAGTGAGAGTTGGTATCTCCTATATATCCCCAAGACTTGTAAGGTGGGCTTGGGTCTAGAAAATAGCAATGGAAATGTGGATCTATTATTAGAACAGAGAGAGGGTGAGTGGTTCTGTCAAAATGAGACAAGCTTATGTGAACCGCCCCCCCCCCCCCCCCCGGTGGATGGTGGCACATGGAGGTCATGAATGAGGAGAGATGGCAGCCAGAGGGACAGTGTGGTGAAGGTAGCAAAACCCACCTCAGCAACCTGCCAAGTATCCAGGTCCTCATAGCAAATTTGCTTGTTCTACTTCTCATGACATATAAATCTTATAATTTGTCTTGGAGATATTCGGGCTTTTGTGTCCTTTTTGTGCTAAAACTACTGGCGGGGAAGTTAATAACAGAGCGTGGGAATTGATGGGAACAACAACAGTTGGTGGAATGTGAATGTGCCTGTCTGTAGCCTAGGGTACCAGGGACAAGTATTCCCCCCAAGTTTTGAACCTGTAAGAAGCCTGATGCCCATGAGCAAGTGTGGAAGATGAGCAAACATAATTGCTTTTCTGCTGTGATTTAAAAAACTCACAACCAAGTTAATTTGACACATTTACATTATGTGTTTGTAATATTCCGTTGCACAGTAATTAGACATGTGTTCTGTGGTTAAGGAAAATGACCACAATTGGTATTATTTTTACATAGCCAAACCAATTTGTTTCCTCATTTCCTTCACGTCATAAAATAATTAGGATCAATGCTGACCTGATGCCATTTAGACTACATCCTGTTTGACCATCACCTCACAGACACTGACATGAGGTAAAATCCAAAGCCTTGCTCAGTGACATTTGCCGTGTCTTAATACCCTTAGTACCCACTCCTACTTCAAGGGGAGGCTCAAAGGCTGAGGATCTCCATATTTCACTGGTGTGCTCCCATTCCATTAATCCTTTATACATGCACAGTCCTTGAATGGCTACCTCCCATGACAGCTGTCCTGGGTGTTACAAGACTTGGGTTGTGGAGACCTTGGACTTTGAAGAGGACAGTGCTGGCCTTCAGTATGGCTTGGGTGAGCTTGAGGCAATGCAGAGACAAGAAGGCCAGTGTGTCTAGAGCACATGCATGAGGGGAGAGTCATGTACCATGATGTTGCAGAGGGTGACGGGGCCATGTTGTGAAGGACCTTGTAGGCACTACTAGGATCAGGGTGCAATGAAAAACTACAGAGAGATTTAAGTGGAAGGAGTGACATGACCAATTTAATTTTTTTAAAAGACCACTTTGATATCATGTGGAATGGGTTAAGAAAGGGGAGGCTTCAAGTAGAGAGATAATTGCAAGAGTCCAGGTAGGAGATGAGGTTGCTTAGATAAAGGTGTTAGGAACAGAGATGCAAAAAGTGGTGGGTGGTTGGGTTTAGGAAATAGTTTTAAGCTAGAGCTGAATGTCTTACTGATGGATATGGGAATAGAGGAAAAGGAAGGAATCGTCAAAGATGACTTCTAAACCTTGGGCTTGAGAAATGGGGTGAATGGTGGTGCCATTTACAGAGCTGGGAAAATGAGGAAAGAAAAGGTTTTGTCTTGGCGAGTGCATGTTTCATGGGGATAAGATGGGAAGGAGGAAGGCCTCAGTCTGTTTTATCTGTGACATCCAAGTGGACATAGCACGTGGGCTGTCAGAACTCCAGGGAGAGTTCGGGGCTGGAGATGAGCATGTGGCCATCATGTTGACAGGATTTAGAGCCATGCAAGAGGTCGATAGAGAAAAGATGAGGGCCAGGGCCTGAGCCCTCCTTGTGTGCAAAGAGCAAATGGAGGTCTTGTGGAGACATTCAGTGTGCTAAGAAAGCTTTGGAAGAGACAGATGTGGCCTTCATTTATTCGGTAAATATTTAAGTGTTGTCCTAGAGGATGGAGAAACGTCAATGAGTAAAACAAGCACAAATGCTTGCCCTCATGGCCTGAATATTAATAACACTAATGTTTCGGCAGGTTCTAGTTCCAGCCTACAAAGGGTGTATTAGTTATTTACTTAATTGCAACATAACAAATTGGCCCCAAACCTAGCAGCTTTAAATGCACAGACATTTATGTCATGGTTTCTGGGAGTCAGGGATTCCCAAGAAGTGTAGCTGGGTAGTTGGGTTCAAGGGCTCTCCTGAGGTTGCCGTCACCTGAAGGCACGGCTGACAGCAGAGGATTCACTTCCAAGATGTCTCACTCGTGTGGCTCTTGGCAGGAGGCCTCAGTTCCTGGCCACTTGAGCCTCTGTGTAGACTGCTTGAGTGTCCTGATGACACGGCACACAGAGATCCGAGAAAGAGAGCAAGGAAGGATCCGCAGTGCCTTTTATTAACCTCCTCTTAGATGTCACCTTCCCTTTTGCCACATTCTGTTTATTTTGTATCAAAGAACTTGCGGACATATTTTTAAACCACTACAAAAAGGAGAAGTTAATCAATCTGTGGGGACAGTATAAAGGTCAGGACGGTGGAGGATAGCCCAATACTCTAAGATCTGTAGAGATAGGGGAAGAATATACCCTGCTCCCCAGTTACTGAGTTATCAGCCAGCATTTTCAACTTCCTTAGTTGGAGTCAGTTACTTCATTATGAAAACTGACTTAGGTGGCTCTTTGAAATAGGCAAGGCTGCTTTGGAGACCCAGTGCTTCCTTTCCCTTAGCAGCAGTATCCCCTAATCTTTTTGGAGGCCCTGGTTATAATAGGGCTTCCCTGGTCACAGCCTGCTCTCGAGAAAGGGACAGGTAGCTGTGGTTTTAACCTTCATATAAATCATTACCCCTCTAGTGGGTATTTGAATTTTAAACATATAATAGTTGAACAGATAGATGCCCCCCCCACCCCTGGTGTGCCCCGGCCGCCACCACCATTAAAGGGATTTCATTTAGAGAAACTGTAAGAGAGAAAAGTGTTTTTGAAGGGGGAGGTGAGGTGTTTATTGACCTTCTGGAATCGCTCATACACTTCGGGGTTCTAGGCCTCCGTATAGACGGCCCCTGCTGTGTGCTGAGTGGACAGTGGAGACCTTGCTACAGCAGCACAACCACAAATACATCAAATAGCTTTCTCTACTGCACTCACTACCTGGGGAGGGTGTTTATCAACTAAAGCAACCAATTGAAGGGGAAAAAATGATCTCGCAACTCTGTCTACATGACCCCGAAGAGTAATTTGACTTCTATTTCCACAGAATTATTTTCTGTTTCCGTATTGCCAAGGACTGCCGGTTTTATCTTGCATTTAAATGAGAGTGTGTAAGATGTTTGTTCTTTATCATTTATTTTCAGAATGGGTGCAGCAGTGGGCACTGTCTGGAACAGGTTCAGATGTGTCTTTAGCTAACAGGGCTTAAATTTTAAGATCTACTTTTTAGCTTAATGCATCCTGGAATAATTGAGATATCTTTTGGAGCATTTGCTTATTTGCTGTCATATGTAAGGCTGGAAATTATTTTCTAATATATTTAAAGATTTTACTCCTCATCAATAAGAATGTGACTTTTTTAACTAGTGAATTTTTTGTCATAACTAATCTTCTTAAATATCTTTTCAGGAGCCAAATTTAGAAAGTATGTGGGTCACTCTGCACATGTCACAAACGTCCGCTGGTCCCATGACTTCCAGTGGGTGTTAAGCATAGGTGGGGCCGACCACTCGGTTTTCCAGTGGAGGTTTGTTCCAGAAGGGGTCAGCAATGGCATGCTGGAAACTGCACCACAGGGTAAAAACAGTAATAATTTTTCAATGTTTGTTTTTCCATAAACATTTCAAAGAATGTTCTAACATGTGTTCTGTAAGTAAAGAGTTTAAGCAATTTTGAAAAATTTATTTCTATACTAAAGATTTTTTAAAAGAAAAAAACTTTTGAGACTAATGTGGGTCAGTTGGATAATTTTCTTGAAAGGATTCTGCTAATACCAAATGCAAGTTGAGGAAAACATTCGCAACGTGAAGGCATAGGAAGCTCCTGACTCTCCCTCCACCCACAGAGGCACCAGCTAAACATCTATTCATGGATTAGTTCCCTCTAAGAGAAAGTCAGAGGCCAATGAGAGACTCCTACCCACCAGGCCACTGAGAAAACATCCTCATCAAATGGGTAGGAAAAGCTGAGGCACACTCAGCCTCAGACCTGTCCTGAGCACTGCACCATCTAATCGGGAAAGGAAACTCCAACACCCAGCTTTTCCCCGTGGAGAGGAGGGTCTGGATCTCACATGTAGCACCCTAACTCTGAAGTTCGCCATGGATGATTGGCTCTTAAGTCACCCACTCTGGGAGTGGAGGGTGTTACACATACGTGGCAGTTTGATACAGATCCCACATTCTGCCAGGGGCTTCATCACGCAGGAGCAGTGCAGAGACGAGGCTTAAAAAAACGCAGCCTCATTTCTCCATAGAAAGGGTTTATGACATGTTTTCGGTGGCTACTTGGTGGTTTGACTTCTAACGAGCTTGCATTGGGAATTAAAGGGACAGACAAACATTAGCTTGGCCTGTTCCCACACCCGCCCCAGTAATGACTCCAGGTCTGCTGATCGCCCTAGAAGGAGTTTGGTTTTGTTTGTTTTTTTTTTTTTAAGACAGGGTCTCCCCCTGTTGCCCTGGCTGGACTGCAGTGGCGTCGTTATAGCTCACTGCAACCTCAAACTCTTGGGCTCAAGCGATCCTCCTGCCTAAGCCTCTGAGTAGCTGAGACTACAGGCGCATACCACGATGCCTGGCTAATTTTTCTATTTTTGTAGAAACAGGGTCTCACGGTTGCTCAGGCTGGTCTCAAGCACCTGGCTTCAAGTAATCCTCCTGCCTTGGCTTCCTCCCAGAGTGCTAGGATTACAGGTGTAAGCCACCATGCCCAACCCCACCGGAAAGGAGTTTGTCCACATATCAAGTGCCCCAACTTTTACAGCTTCCATTCAAGGTACTACATCCTAATGCTCTTACCTCTAGGAACAGAGAGGACAGAGTATGTATCAGTCTATCTAGCCTACAGAAAACAGTGGCAGTTTTATATGGCCATGTAAGCACTTTCAGGGGCTTCGTCCCCCAGAAGCAGTGAAAAGAAGGGGCTTTAAGAATACAGTCCCCCAAAAAAATGCAGCTCCCTGTTTTTCTCCAGAAATGGTTTATATTACACATCGAGTGCCCCAACTTTTACAGCTACCTTACAAAGGACTCCAACCTAAACCTCTAAGCTCTGGGAGCAGAAGGGACTAGGCATTCTCAAGTCTTCCTAGATCACAGAACAAAGACCCCTTAAATAGGCCTGCAAACACTTCCAGGGACTACAGCCCCTTGGAACAGTGCAGAAAAAGGGTGGGAATATGCAGCTCTCATTTTCTCTCTGGAAGGGACCTGGAGCATATATTTCCAGTGGCTACTTGATGGCCCAGCTTCTAATGAGCTAATGAACTTGCATGGGGGAGCTAATGGGAAAAAAGAAAAAAAAAAGCCTTCCAGAAGTCAAAGCCAGAGCTCAGAACTTCATAAGCCTCCCCTCTGGCTTGCTCCAGTGATAAATATAAGCCTACCCATTCTTCCCAGAAGGAGTTTGGTCATCTACCGAATGCCACACCTTCTATAGCTCCCACCCAGGGGATTGTTAGTGAACTGGCTCTTGGGCCATTGGCATTGTCAAGTGGCCATAGACCACAGAAAACAAAGAGATGGATGTACAGTAGGCCTGCTTACAGGAGCTATCTCCCCAAGATCAGAGGGTACAGCTTGAACATGAGTACAGGCATTTGTCACAGGTCCTATATCTGGCTTAGTGTAGAGAGTGGGAGATAAATACCCATGTGAAGATAGAAGGAATGGAGACACACAGCCAACACCCCAGCCATTCCAGCTATACCTAGAGAGTCTGGCTTCTACCTTTCCAGTTTTGTGGTACTGACAGGACATGGCACATCCTAAGCTTCAGGGGGCTGCCCAAAACAGACAGCAATCTGCACAAACACAAAGATTTGAGAGGCATGGCCAGACAGATGGGTGAGATCCTTCTCCTACATGAGGCCAGTCTTACAAGGCTGGGAGAGGTAGTTATTTTATCTAACGCACAGGAACCAACACAGTCAAGGAAAATGAAAAAACTGAGAAATGTATTTCAAACAAAAGAACAAGACAAACCTCCAAAAACCAACCCAAGTGAAGTAGAGATACATGATTTACCCAACAGGAAATTCAAAATAATGGTCCTAAAGATGGCTCACTGAGGTCAAGAGAGCAATGCAAGAGCAAACTAAGAACTTCAACAAAGAGAATAGAAAGTATAAAAAAAGTACCAAAGAGAAATTGTAGATCTGAAGAACACTGTAACCTCAATAGAGAGGTTCAAGAGCACAATAGGTCAAGCAGAAGAAAGGAGCAGTGAATCCAAAGGCAGATTACTGGAAATCATCTAATCTGAGGAACAAAAATAAAAAAGGGACAATTTAAGAGACTTACAGGACACCATCAAGAGGAATAACTTATGCATTACTGGCATACCAGAAGGAGAAGAGGGAGAGAAAAGGACAGAAAACATATTCAAAGATATAATGTCAGAAAACTTCCCAAACCTAGGAAAGAAAAAGCCAAATCTAGTTTACCAAATAGTATGAATCCAGAGAGACCTACACAAAAACACATCAAAATCAAATTATCAGAAGTTAAAAGCAGAGAGATTGAAAGCAGCAAGGGAAAAGAGAATCCATCACATGTAAGGAAACCTCCATAAGACTGTCAGCAGATTTCCCAAATGCAAGTTGAAGGTTTACATGAAGAGATAACCTTTGAAGATATCATGAAAGTATACAGTTCAGCCTCCTTTGGACGACTGTAACAGGCAGTAGGTCTGCTCAGTCAGGCTGCGGGATGACAAGGTAACCTCTGGAAGGGAAGCTGCTTCCAGTGGGGTTCATATCATAGCAGAGTCTGCATTTGGGGCCTATGTGTTCCAGTTCAATGAACACGGTGTCTTTTTTTGTCTATATCCTGCAACATCAACAGGAATGAATAGATAATAAAATGAAAAACTGTTTGAGTAAATGTTTTCACTGGGAAGCGTTCTGCAGCAATTACTAGCACTTAGTAGGTATGTTAAAAAGCTAAAAATGATCTTTACTGAAGTAAGTGGTTGGGTTTTTTTTTTT